TCACTCGATAAAATGCATTGGTCTCTAAATGCTTGGTCTCCAACGCAGGCACAATAACGAGATGCAGCAGCACAAGTTCTATGTGGTAGATGGTACGCAGGACCAGCTATCATTGGCTTACAAGCAAGTCAAGACCTGAATCTGATCAGCATAGACAATGGGTGTGATGGTGGGAAGTCGCACATACATGAGATAACACGACAGCCAGTGTTTAATGAGCCACCACCCGCACCCGAATGAACACGACTGAAGACCCTCAAGTGGTGGTTCCGAATGTTTTTGACAAAATTGGATGTTTCAAGGCGAAGCCGAGCTACATCTGAAGCCGGACGCGACCACATATTGATCCACCAAGGAGATGTGCAATTCACTTACGCTCCAGAAATGAAGCAGAGCTTAAGAAGATGGAGACGGGATGGGATCATACGCCCAGTCACGAGCCCAACAGACTGGTGTTCATCCCTTACCTATGCAACAAGCAGGACGGTAGTCTGAGAATATGTCTGCGACCCAAAAAAGCTGAATGAATCGCTGAAGCGGTGTCCACACAAAATTCCAACCATCGAGGAGATCAATCTGCGTTCGCAAATGCCAAATACTTCACTGAAGCTAGACGCAAAGGCGGATACTGAGTGTCCAGCTGTCCGAAGGCTACACAAGAGCTCACCACTTTTCGCACACCGTTTGTAGGTGGTGTTTTTCGCCGTTTACCGTTTGGCTATGTGTCAGTCAAGACATCTTTCAACAGAAGATGGATGACATTATCGCCCAGTGCGAGGGTGTCGTCGGCATCACGGAATGACATTGTCGTGTCCGGCGTAACGGAAGAAGAGCATGATAGGAGACTGGTAGCTTTCCTGAAGGGTAGCACGCAAAGACGGCCTAGTAGGCTCAATTCCGTCGAAATGTGTGGTGAAAACGAACCAAATAACCATTCCTTTGGTCGCCTTTACACAGACAAAGGCATGTTTCCCGACCCAGGAAAGTGGAGGACATTATCGCAATGCCCACCACACAAGACAAGCAGGCGACATGCAGACGATTCCTTGCATGGTGACCTTCATGTCAAGCCACTTGCCCAAGCTGTCGGACGCACAGACTACTCTGAGAGACCTACTCAAGAAGTGTTCCGTTCGAATGGAGTGAGTGATCACCAGGCAGCAATACAAGGGAGTCAATAGACTTGTCGCTGCTAGTGTTGGGTTACGATACTATGACCCAACACAGGACGTTTCCTTAGAGGTAGATGCCATCGGCTCGGGGGCTCGAGCAGCCTTGGTCCAAGCAAACGGACCAGTCGCGTTCGCGTAGGCAAAACATTGACGACTGCACAGTCTCACTACAGCAATCTCGCAGAGGGAGTGCTTGGCGATCGTTCACGGGATCCAGCGATATCACCATTACTTGTTTGGCCGCCATTTTGAAATCATCACGGACCACAAGCCGCTGAATGAATTCTCCGAAATCGCTCTGTGCCAGCACCACCTCGACTGCAGAGAATGTTGGTGAAAGTCCAAGGGTATGATTTTGAGATACACTATAGGCCAGGACCCAGATGGTATTAGCCGACACCTTGTCTAGGTTACCGAACCAGCACAAGGATGGTGAGATTGAGCTAGATGCACAATGTGACTGCATTGAACGTGGACATGATAACTTCTCGCCTACAAAACAGGGTCAGTTAAGAAGTGAAACGGCACGAGATCCTATACTTCGTGCATTATCACAAACAATCTTCACGGGCTGGCCAGACAGGATGCAGGAACTTCCGCTAGACCTAAGGGCTTTCTGGAGCTTCCGGGATGAGTTGGCAGTGGAGAATGGTGTCATCTTCAAAGGCAAACAAGTGGTGGTACAGCCACCTAGAAGTGACATACTGAAACAGCTACACGAAGGTCACCAGGAATTGAGAAAACCAGGCGTCTTGCCCGTGAAAGTGTGTCTGGCCCCAGGATTAGTGGTGACATTGAGCAGATATGTAAGAATTGCGAACCATGTCAAGAAATGCAACCACAACAACCAAAGCAACCAATGAGGATGCACGAGAGACCCAACAGTCCTTGGACCAAGCTGGGGACAGATTTGTTTGAGATCAATCAGAAGCAGTATCTGATCATTTCCGACTACTACAGCCGCTATCCAGTGGTTAAGCAGCTCGAGAGCACCACAGCAAAGCTGTAAATCTCAGCAACGAAGGAGAATTTTCAGTCTTCTGGGGGTGCCACGGGTAATCGTCTCGGATAACGGACCCCAGTATCTGAGCGAATATGACGTATTCTGTTCAAAGTGGGGGATAGAGCATGTCACAAGCAGTCCGAGATATGCCCAGTCCAACGGATTCGTAGAGCGACAGATTCGGTATATCAAGCCGATTATCAAGAAGTGTTTGAAGACGGGGGGAGACGTTGATCTAGCTCTCTCAATGTGAGAGCTACTCCATTAGATGGCAATCTGCCCACCCAGCAGAGTTGTGTTGGTAGAGCCATTCCACGACACTACCTAGTCCACACCACAGTGAGTTCTCAGCAGGAGAGATATGGTGAACACATTTCGGATGCCATCGAGAACAGACATGCGTATGCTAACCAGCATACACGCGAGCAGGCACCGCTCATCGAGGACAGAACGTTCGGTACTGAACAAGGACAAGAAAATCTGGTGTGGGCAGGAACAAGTAGGTGAAGCAGTGCAACGAGAACGATCGGTCATACGTTGTGGAAATGGAAGGTGGTAACCAGTTCCGACGTAATCGGGTTCAAATACGTGAGACGCCCAAGCCGACAGTAGAGAGTCGAGATTCGCGACCAGTCGTGATGGATCACGAGGCTGAGAAAGCTTCGAGTCCAATAACAATTGTTGCAGAGACAGATGTGAACAGACCACGCGCGAACACGCGTTAACATTGGTTCATCAGGGGGTGTTCAGCGGGACTATCACTCGGTCGGTCGGGTGGTAAAGATACCCATGAGATTCAAAGATGAGTGAAAAGAAAACACTGTTTGCAGTGTAGTTGCAGATTGAGATAGTTTTGGTTTAATTCAGTTTTGATTCCTTATTGTAAAGAGAGGGGGATGTGGTGATATGCGTTCACAAGCACTAGCGTAGTGATACGCCACAATATAGTGCGAGGCGTAAACCGGTGATCACATGGGCTGGAAAGCATTCCATGTATAGGCCATCTTTGAATGCTAATAAAGAGCTTGACACCGCTCCATGGAAATGCCTGTCTTTGGCTTATAATAGCTATACCAATATATTACAGCAGTTACGCATTTTACTATGATTAATCAATATCTTTTATTCGTGTGGTGTTTGATATTCGGTGACAAAAGCTTTCGAGCTTATGTTAAAAATGTTCATGATATACCGATGAAATAAATTTTACTTGAACTTGAACTTGAACTTGCATGTAAGAAGAAGGAATAAGAATAAGAAATAAAGAAGAAGGAATAGGAATAAAAAATAAGAAGAAGGAATAGGAATAAGAAATAAGAATAAGAATAAATTCCCCGCACATTCCAAAGAGAGAATCAGTGCCTTGTGAAATACAAGAGAGGGCACCCCAAGATACAACAATACAGATCACTCATTCGACTGTCACTTTTTTGCTTTTTTTTCCACGACTTCGGACTCCTGACAGAAGTACAGGCCAATCTCGAATTTGAGATTATTTACTCCTACTGCTACTACTACTACTAATACTACTACTACTACTACTACTACTACTACTACTACTACTACTACTACTACCTCCTGCTACTACTAGTACTAGTACTATAGAGTATAGTAAATAAGTAGTATTGCTATTACTATTACTGCCCGCGAATACTGGAGTATTAGTAATTGTAATTTGTAGTAATACTTACTAGTCTAGAGCATGCGCATGTGATGTTATTAGAATATGGTTGCCAGGATGGTGACCCTAGTAAGTAGTAGTAGTACTATAGTTCTAAATTATAATTATATGCCATACAGCATGATAAATCATAAATCTGTGTATAAGCTATGGTATAAGCGAGATTGGTATTTAAAAACGAATAGCAATGTATCATGATAGTTCCAAGGTTGGTTTGGTGTAGATCTAGTAACTATGTAGCCCGCGTACAGCTGCAGCAGCAACTGTCTGCGGGCTATAGTTACTAGAGCTATAGGTTTGGTGTAACTTAATTCGCCCCTCTTCATATATATACTTTCTTCATGCAAAACGTATATAACCTTTCACAAGATTTATCATGGTTAGGTGAAGATTGGTATATTCCCTCTTTGTTTAATGAAGTCTATTTGTAGCAGTCGATGATCTAAGCCTGATCACTGCTTTCGTGATGTGAAGCAGCCATCGACACTAACAGTTGTCCAATTGCCCGGGACAAGTTAAAGTCTACGTCGGACAAGTTATTCTCTTAGCTAGTTGCCCGATCGGACAACTAAAAAATTTCTTGTTGTGTAAAATTCCTAACATCCTTTGAGCCAGGGCACTATCGCACGACATTTCTCACGTCATATTTTCGAAAGTCGCTGAAAAAAAGCTGCCCGCGACACCCATGTCTGTGGCTGTGCACATCATGGCTGCGTACCCCGTACCTGCCTGCTGGCTGGGCGGCATTGATTGAAGTATAGGGGGGGGGAGCGCACTGATTGTTTCAGTCGCGTGGGGCATGTTCATTACTGAATATGTAGGGGGTGGGCACCGCTAGTATGAGAGAGCGACAGCAACACTCTTTTCTGGAATTGAGCTGCAATTCCATTACGATTTTCCATGTAAGTACTGTAATATGATATACACTGAACTAAACATGTGCTCTAGATTGCAAGTAAATTTTGGACAAGTAAAACTAAAATTCGGACAAGTAAAAATTGCTTCTTGTTGCCCTACATGACAACCAGATCTGAAAATAAGCGTCCTTTCGGAAATATTCCTTTAGGGTTTGGCTTCTGCATTTCTGTCATTTCATACTGGAATTGTCTTCCTTTTCTGGTTACTTGTAAAACTTTCTACTGCAATCCACAGTGTTAATCCATCGATTTGATCAACTTTTTCTCTCTCCGTCTTCGACGTAGTCCTTGGGACTTTAAAGACTAATCATATTATAAGGTTACTTGTGCGTTCGGTGTTGCAACACACACACAGTCTTTCAATGTATGGCCGTTTCTTTGAGCTAGTACCAACCCATCTAACCAATTCTATATGCTATGTTATACACTGTGCTATTGTGATACACTGACACGTGTTCTCAGTAACCTATATACGGTGGTACAACGGCTAGCATTTCCACTTTGCTTCCTTCAAAGCCTGTGTGTTCAAACCCGGAACAAGCAGTGAAGTTTCTGGGTGTTTTGTCCAGGGGTGTAAATCTGGCTGTGAACATTGGGTTCTGTTAATCCCCCGTGGCATGCATGCCCATGTGAAATGGTGGGCCTGTCTTTAATATTAAATGGAGAAGTAAAAGAATCACTGAGGATGTAAGACACTCTTGCAGTGACCACCCTCAGTGTCAGCACAGGTCAGTTTGGTGTACTACTCTAGGGCTAACTAGTAAATGAGACCTATCATTTTTCTAACTATACAGCTAAATAGTTGTTATATGGATAACTAGAGCACTCGGAAAGCGCAGACCTCCGCCAAGGCAGCTCAATTCTCTCACTGTGAAAATTTTTATTAATTAATGAATTAATTAAATAATTAATTGGATCCGGATCACCACCAAAATGT